CTCTGTCATCGTAACACAAGCACACCAATACCATGCCAATTTTGTCTGCACAACAATGCACATTCAATCTTTATTTGAATGTAGAATGTGTAAACATCAGCTTTTAAAACCAAATAGTCCAAGTGAGATCATAGAAAGTTGCTACATAACTGAAACAGTTTTCTACCAGAGTAAAGTAGCATCTTTAACACTCTTCATTAAAGTTCTTTGGGTGTGTGCAATAAAATCAGATTGCCTGATTTCACTGCAGTACTGCATGTGGCCAGGAGAGGTCACTGTAACTGAAGCTTCAAAAAATCAAACCAATTTTTGAAACTTTTGTCCCTAGTGGTTCGGTGCTTTTTAACAGATTAATTTGCCCATCACTACAAATGCTTCACAGGGCCTTAAGTACTGGAGTCTTCTCATCAGTGAAACTGCACCATCTGTGAGTAATCAGCTCCCTCCCTCCACTCAGGAACTGAAAACAAGCACCTACAACTATAATCTAGAATCCCTACAAGTTGCAAAAGTGTGAAATATTCTGTGGATGTATACACATCTGAATCAACAGTGAAACATCTCTGAGTAGTAAGTTCTATCAAGCAAGAGGCATCATGAAGACCAAGGAATTGTCCACAAAGGCCTTTAAGTACAGATTGGAGTTGGAGAATAGAAAAAAATATTCCAAGAACACTAATAAATCCATTATTTTCCAATGGAAAGAGTATGATAAAATAAAAGCTTGGCAACAGCAGGACCCCCACAAAAACTCACCAACTGGGTAAGGAGGGTGTTCATCAGAGAAGCCAAACACCAAAGATGAGGACGAGCTGGAAAGTGTTGCTGGGAAGACAGGTCCAGCACGTTTCCCTGCAGGACCTATTTTTACATGACCGGCCATGAATAAGATGGATGGGTGAAAAGATGAACGCATGAATAGAAAAATGGACAAATAAAATATCAAAGTATGTTTGCCATAATTTATTTATGTATTGTATTTGTTTCGTATTAAATGTATGAATGTGTCTAAATGTGGTGAATAAGAAGGGGGACAGCACAGTGCCCTGGGGCCCCCCTAATTTGCTGATCAGACGTTCAGACACAGTTTTGTAGTCTAACAAACTGTGGTCTGCCCGTCAGATAGTTGTCTATCATCTCACCGTGGGAGCATCCACCTGCAAGTCCTCCAGTTTGAGCTTCAGCAGCCTGGGCTGGACGGTGTTGAAGACATTGAAGTTGAAGAACGTGCTGCATACTGAGGGGTTGGGCCTTCTGCAGCAAACATCGTCAACTCCAACCTTTGGCTGGTACACCAAAGGTGTCAGTGTGTGATATATGTATATTCACTCTGGCTAAGTTACTGGTGGTGGGGTCTCTCTAAAAAGATCTCAAGGAGCAGAGATTAGATACTGACTCAAAATTGGGATAAATAAAACTTTTTTGTTGGATTCTCACGGGATTCTGATTGTTTGTAACCAAACAACCAGCAGAACCTTGTGGCTCTGTGTTTACTCTAAAAAAATCATTGCACAACTTTTTTAAAAACATGTTCAATTCAACAAACAAGACCACAAGCCACAAAATACAGAATCCTTGTAAATTGTCTTCAAAGCTGTCAGCTATTTAGAGACACACTGGTTTAAAGTCTCAAATGCAAAGTTGACCTGAAAATACAAAGTACATTGGCAGCAGTTTCAGCCATGGCAAAACTACCAAGTCTGTGTGAAGGTTTGGTTCGTGCTACGAGTACTCAAATCAGCTGATTTATGAGCTAAACCATAAGATGGAAGTGATTTGTGAGAATCAGCTTCTAGGGCTCGCCAGCATGTTGGAGACGACCTTGGATGAGGCTCATAGCACAGATCAGTGGAATGCCCACAAATCTGGCCATTTTGGATCTTGAAAGTACCAGCAGGACTCAAGGCTGACAAGAAAAAAACAGTCTGCCTGAATAAAATCAACAGTTGTGGCTTATCTGAATCTGACTCCCCCGTTTGGCCTTGAAAGCAGTCCAACTATCAAATTTCTCTTGGGACATGGGTAAACTAAGGAAAAGCTCCATCTATCGAGTCCGCTATCATCTCCTTTGTTTTGCTGACATTAAGAGAGAGGTTATTTTCAATTCAGTTTATTTATATTGCGCCAATTCACAACAAAGTTGTCTCAGGGCACTTTACAGAAACATTTACATACATTCTTCTTCTTTCAGCTGCTTCCTGCGTTAGGGGTCACCACAGCAAACTAAGTCGCACGAAGACTTGGCAGTTATTTTTACGCCGGATGCCCTTCCTGACGCAACCACGGACCACCGAGCTACCACAGCCCTCTGTGTGGAGCAGAGAGCTGCTATTTAGGACACCCGAAGGAGCAACCCTGTGAGGAACCCCCTGTGAGGAGGGCTCTGGGCCCTTGCGCAAGGGCCCAGAGTGGGACAAATGAGGGTGGGGGCAGGTGTGGGTGCTTCACCTACCCCACCCACATTTTTGATGTTGTCGGTACCGGGGCTTGAACCGGCGATCTTCCGATCACAGGCCTACCGTCTCTAACCTCTGCGCCACCACTCCCCTACCGAAACATTCACATACATAAAAAAGTAAATTAGTAAAGTTCTCTAAGGAATTTTCCTGACACCAGTTGGTCAGTGATTTCACATAATCTCTGTAGACACTCTCATTGTTGTTGGTGATGAGGCCCAAGATGGTGGTGTCATCAGCATACTTGAGGATGATGTTAGAGCTATGCTTGGGGGTACACTCGTGTAAATAAAGAGTACAAGAGTGGACTGAGGACACAGCCTTGAGGTGTACCGGTGCTGAGGACTAGTGTGGAGGAGAGGTGACTGCAGATTTTCACTGCCTGTGGTCTGTTGGTGAGGAAGTCCAGTATCCAGCAGCAGATGGACTTCTCCAGGCCCAGTGTGGTGAGCTTGGAAACCAGCTTGGAGGGGATTATGGCGTTGAATGCTGAGCTGTAGTCAATGAAGAGCATTCTCACATAGGTGTTTACCTTCTCCAGATGGTTGAGGGAGGTGCTTAAAGCTAATTGTGCTTTGTTTTGTGTGTTTTATATGTAGATATATGTGGTAACCTTGTTGCCTAAGTTTAGTCTTTGTTAAAACTAAACTGATTTTGTACAAAGTGTTTAATAGATTGTGTGTAAAATTTACACTCTTACATGTTGAATTTCACTGTGAGTTCTTACCCTGTGTTGCTCTGTGGCATGAAAACATCTACTGCAGTAACTATCTTAAGTTATTAGTAGCTTAGAATTATTTTTTGCCTTAATTTTGGCTGATAAGACAAATGTCTCACTAAATGCTTCAGGTAACACCACGAGCTTCACTACCTCCACCATTACAGGTATCTTGTTTGTTAGTTTGTCCGAGGTTAGCTCACCCTGTGTTACATTTCCTCGTGGATCTTACCGTTCATGTAAAATATTTGATAATGTTCTTATAGAAACAATTCCTGAATGTTGTTCATACTGTGTTAATGCTACATGTTTGTCTCTTGACCCTACAACTGGGTAAGGTTACAGTAGACCTAGCCGATTACTGGAGTTTTAATTAGGTATTTTAAGTTACTAATAAACGTGATGGATGATGATCATATTGCTTTATGCTAGGCCATTGGTAAGAAGGAGTGATTATTCTGCTGCCTTCATACATCTCCTCCTACATATCTCTGTGTGAGTGCAGTTACAGCGTACGCTCTCAGGACATTATTACCTGCAGTGTTCCCTCAGTGAGGACTGAACTAGGCAAAAGGGCCTTCTCCTACTCTGCTCCTGTTTCCTGGAATAACTTACAAAAAGATCTGATGCTCTCGACCTTGACCTCTCTAAGTGGCTTTAAGAATCTGTTGGACTCCTGGCAGGGACCAATGCAGACATGGTCCTGTTCTTAGTTTTCTACATTCGCCTTATAATCTAGCTGTTTTTTGTTACTGTTGTTTTTTTTGCCATCCTATTTGATAAAAAAAAAAAAAAATCTGTATGACTTTTTATAACTGTTTATTGTTGTCACTGTTGTCCATTGTTGTCATCATTCTTTGATGAAATCCGGTCTTTCTTGAAAATGAGTCCTCGAGGCTCCATGGGATTTACTTGTCTAAATGAAGGTTGAATGAATTATTATTGTTTCATATTGCTAGTGATTTTTTTCCTAAAAGTTAATTTGGGTTTCATTATGTTTCTTAGACTGTGGCTAGGATGCATCAGAGCAGTGGAGCGTGCTCTATTCACACAAGGAGAGCTGTTGGTCAGACTACTTCTGTGCCATTAACTCTAAAATAGTTATTGAATCATGTGTTATTTATGTAGGCAAAACTAAATGTTAAACAGCCTGTTAAAATACCCCAGAATGCAGGAAATTGCATCTACTTTATTCAAAATTATTTGGGGGAGGACCCCCCCACCATTGTGCCCACCTCCCCCAAATTACATTAAAAATAAAGCTTCTGATGCCAGTGGTCACCACATTGTCCAAGCCAAGAGCCATTGTCAGCACTGGGGGGGCTAAAAGCGCCCCTAAAAGTGTAGATTCTAGAATCGCACCTGATGTAAGTTTAAAATTACATGATTTTAATAATAATAGGTCGTGATCTAAAGTGGGCCGCTCTGAGGCCGAAACTCCAGGGCAGAAAATGAGTCCCACTCCAGCCCTGAATACCACTATCCATCCTCATGGCCTCTTACCTTTTTCTATCTAAAAAAGTATTCTGAAGTGGCCCGCAGGCCACCAGATGACAACCACTGGCACTAAAATGAGACACGAAACAAACAAAAAGCTCCTAATTGTTCTCGAGAAGGCACAGCATGGAAATATGCATGACGCATATTTAGAACATGTTTGTATTTCTCTCTTTAAGAGGCGTACATGAAACAGCAGAGCTCTTGATGTCTTTAGAAATGAACTCAGCCTGAGCTCCTTCAACAGATAGCTTTCACAAAAATCTGAACTGGGACCTGTCTCTTTAAGTGAGATAAAGCGGATTACAGCTCATCTCCACAGCGAGTCTGTTGTTGTTTTGCGTCACAGGAGGGACGCCTCGTTCCGTCTCTTTAGTTGTTTTTTTATTTTTAGACAAAAAGAAAACAACAACAAGTCCTCGGTAAAGTTTAGTGCTCGGGCTGGTTCTAAAAGCTCCACATCAAAGCAGCCGACCGGGTGACGTGCTCTGCGCGCGCTCCAACTTTTCCTTTTAAACCTGGATTATTTCGCTTTCTCTCTCCGCTGTCAGTCGCTAAAAATAGCCACATATGTGGAGGTTCGCTGCGATGGTTTCTGGTTGAACTTTGTTTTTGTTTTTTTAAAACACCGAGAGTAAAATGCAGAAGAGCGTGCGGTACAACGAGGGGCACGCGCTCTATCTGTCCGTGGCGGCGCGTAAAGAAGGAACCAGGCGAGGCTACCTGAGCAAGAAGAGCGCGGAGAACAGCCGCTGGACCGAGAGGTACTTCGCCCTCTACCAGAACCTGCTCTTCTACTTTGAGAACGAGCAGAGCGCGAGGCCCTCCGGTATATACCTGCTGGAGGGGTGCACGTGCGAGCGCGCACCGGCGCCAAAGGTGTCCGCCATCAGCAAGGAGCCCGTGGAGAAGCAGCAGGTGAGCGAGGAGCACGTCACCAGCAGCACTTCACAGATTTTCAGTTGGCAGTTGAATATTTTTTTTTCATTTATTCATTTATTTAAAAGAAACAAATTCATCAAATAAAAAATAAAAAAAATTGAATGAAAAGGGTGCAGAAAGAATAAAATTATTATAATATCTGCCCCCTTATTAAAAAAATAAACAACTCAGGCTTGAACAATCAAAGCGAAAACAACAAACATCAGGCATTCTTCAAATGGTGTCATACTTTCTTAATTTAATCATCTTTTAAACATATACGTTGTTTTAAAAATGTGAATGTTGATATCAAAACAATTTTACAATCGTATTCCTTGAATTACAACACACTCTTTTTTTTAAAACAAATTTTAATTGAATATTTGAGGGTAATATTTTTTATGAGCTTTATACATGACTTGTATAATTCTATATTCACCCAAATCATAAAATTTTAATAATTTCAACTGATTAAATAATATATTTGTTGGGTGACCATAGCACTTCCTACTAATAATTCTTATAGCTCTTTTTTGTAAAATTAAAAATAGGGTTTGTAATTTTTTACATGCTTTTCCCCAAACTTGAATACAATAGATAAAATATGGAACAATCATTGCATTATACAATATATATAAAGCTTTGTCATTCAAAAAAATATTTTGCTTTAAACAGTAATGCAATTGATTTAGCTATTTTTATTCTTAAGTAATTTACATGGGTAAATTATGAGTAAAAGTAGTGAATAAATTAAAGTATAGGCACTACACTTGAGCTAAATGTGGTCAAAATGTTGCAAAATTAGATAAGTAAACTTTATTTATATAGCACTTTTTACGTATTTAACCTCCCTCCCCTAAAAAATTAGTATTTTGGAGTCATTTTTTGCAGCAGTTAAAGATTCAAGACACGCCACCATGAGCTTTGGCTACTGGAAGTTGTTTCCCTCACAATTTGTGGGTAAAATACTGTTAAAGTTCATTTTAAATAGTTTTGGATTCTGCTCATTTTAATGAATAGACCTTTTATTCTTGCAAGAAGGAACACGTGCACTGACAGTACAGAGGATGACGTTCAGAGGTTGTTTCTCTGCAGACTTTATTTGTAATTTTAAAAAGGTATCACACGACAACGGAGCTTAAAGTGAAAAATTCTCCGTGGTTTTCTCAAAACAACTAAATAGAAATCCCCCAGTACATGTCCAACTGTTGCTCTTTGACGTCTCGCTTTAAGTGCTATCATGCAAACTGCTTTTAACTTGTGGTGTAACAAGAAATGATCCAACTCTTGCTCTTCTGTTCCTCTAGTATAGAATGAAATCAACCCTTACTTTGCTAAAGAGTCATAAATACCTCAAATTCATCCATTTCACACAGCTTGTCATAATCTACATTCAAGCATAGAAAACAATATAAACAACTATTTATGTATCAGCTGCTTAAATCCTTTAATTTTGACAGGTATCACTTCTGTATCGCCATCTTTGAAACCTCAAACATTACCTTCAAAAGCATAGTGGTGGACGTATCATCATAGGGTAATATGATTGGATGGAAGTTACTCATCGAAGCTGATTCATGCAGTCATAAGACGTCGTTTTACTTTCATATTTGTGCACATAGATGAGAGACTCTTTGATAGTAGCTGAGGTTAAGACGTTAAGAAAAGCATCGTGTTCTTTACTAACTGTTTGCGTTGTTTCTGGCAACACACTGATCACCCATAGGTTGAAAATAAGGAAACAGATGTGGATTTTTGTTTTTATTTCTGTCAGCAGACTGGAGAGGGTTAGGTTGTCAACTGTTTTACCTCCGTTACTCTCAGGCCAGAAAGCAACATCAGCTGATAGAAACCCGAGAAGATCGAACCTCTGGGAATCCACTTTAGACCGTGCGGCCATATTTACACCCTGTAAGATTTGGTGATGGAGGCCGTTAAAAAGAAACTTCTTCAAACAGCAGGTCGTCATATCTGAATTGAAATCAGCATCAACATTGTTGCAAATTTTGAAAAAAAACAACAAACAACGTTAAAGTATGAAAAGGCAAAGAAAACCATTAAGCATATTTTTCTCTGGTCCAAAAAGTGATCAGCTACATTTGTATTGAAACCAGAACTGTTCACTGGACTTTATTACTAGGCCTGTCATGACAACAAATGTTGCTGGGCGATTAATTGTCTCTGAAATTATTGTGATAAACGATAATATTGTTTGAAATTTAATAGTAATTAGTAATTATTGTCAAATTTAAGAATAAATGTTTATTTGTTTTGCATGTCGTACCTTTTTTGACCACTGACTGGCAATATAAGACTGTTTGAAGCAAAGGATGGATAGTGAGGGAGCGAGCAGCGTGTCTCTTTAATAAAAATGAGAGGGAGACCTTTGACGTGACATGGGCTGTCTCTCTTTGGTTCTCAAAATGGCGGATGCTCGGTGTGGTTTGAGCTCTGTAGCATAGCATTTTTCACACAAAGCTTTAATTAAAAAAAAAAATCAGTAAACAAGTTCTCAACTTTTTGCAGAGAAAAACTTTTTAGATGAAGGCACGGGTTTCAACTGTGAATTTTGGAGCTTCGACAAGACGGAGATTTTTTTCCAAGGTCGGCCTGTTAGCTTAGCTCGTAGCTTAGCTTCTCAGCTTAGCTGCACAGGCCTATTTATTACTGCGATTATTTACTTGTTTTCACTGAAATGACTATTGTAGAGGTGCAGCATCACTCTATAACATGAACTAGTTCTATAGTGTAGATCAGACATATCAAACTAAAGGCCAATGGGCCACATCTGTTTGATGAAATCACATTTAGATGATATATATGTATATGTATACGTGCAGTATGTATTTTCATTCAATCACGTGGGTTTGTCTCTCAAAAAGGGGAGAGAAACAACCAAATACAACACAACTATTCAAATTGAAAAAAAAAAAGTGAACTCCACCTCTGTCAAATATTTTTTTAATTTAATTTAACCAACACTACTCGTATCACACCTGTTCATTGTATTCATTAACTACATGTACCTGATGACATACTAGTGGAGGTATAGAAATGTCTTGGAGAGATGGCAGTGAAGTTTTTGACTCGGTTATTCAATGGCATTTTTGAAAGTGAGAAAAGGAATGGAGAAGAAGGTGACCATTTTTAAGAACAAGGGTGATGTATAGAGTTGTAGCAACTACAGGGGGATTAAGTTGACGAGCACCACGATGAAGATCTGGGAGAGAGTTGTAGAAGCAGTCGCGAGGTGACTATTTGTGACAACTGATGTGGCAACAAAGTAAAGTAGATTTCAGCCATCAGGATGCACTTTTCCTGCTACAATCAACAAAATACATTTTACTTAAAGAGCTGTTTCGTATACCAGCAGAGGTAAGTTGGCAGTGAGGGAGGCAGACACTGGCTCTGCACTGCGATCAAACAAAGGCCCAGATTCTAGTCTATCAGTTTTCTCCGACGTTTATTCACTGGAAAATGCAGCTCGTCAAACATCAGAGTTCATTTATCAGCTTTAAAACAAAGTTGTTGTTTTTTTCTAGTAGCTCATAAACTCCTGTGTGTGTTCTGCTGCAGTTACGGCATAAGGACATTTCATTCCATCCAAACCACTCTTGTTGTCAGCTACCTTAAAGTACTCCCATACTTTAGACCCCGTTGACCTTTGAGAACTTTTATAACAAGACATGTTTGACTCTGGTGCAGTTGCGGACACGGCTTTTCCACCATGAAACTACCTTGGACAGTATCAACAGGCACTCGATCTATGTAAACAAGGTATACTTGCAATGCAGCATAAAAATTATTATCTAATTAATTATACTAATTATCATCATCAATGACATTGACTATACCTACTATTCAAGGCAGCCCTACATCCATTACAAACTCTTTGGGAGAGTTTCAACTGCTTTCTTCCAAACTTTTGTTTCTGTAGATTTTAGGGATGCACGATATTATCAGCATGATATTGGTATCGGCCGATATTAGCAATAAAGTTAAATATCAGACATCG